TATTCGACCTGCAGCTGCTGCTCGTCCTTCAACAACACAAACTCTCACTATTACACAGTAACAACACACACTAACAACACAGTAACAACACACTAACAACACAGTAACAACACACTAACAACACAGTAACAACACACTAACAACACACACTAACAACACACACTAACAACACAGTAACAACACACTAACAACACACACTAACAACACACACTAACAACACAGTAACAACACACTAACAACACACAGTAACAACACACACTAACAACACACAGTAACAACACACACTAACAACACAGTAACAACACACTAACAACACAGTAACAACACACTAACAACACACACTAACAACACACACTAACAACACAGTAACAACACACTAACAACACACACTAACAACACACACTAACAACACAGTAACCACACACTAACAACACACAGTAACAACACACACTAACAACACAGTAACAACACACTAACAACACAGTAACAACACACTAACAACACACACTAACAACACACACTAACAACACAGTAACAACACACTAACAACACACAGTAACAACACACACTAACAACACACAGTAACAACACACACTAACAACACAGTAACAACACACTAACAACACAGTAACAACACACTAACAACACACACTAACAACACACACTAACAACACAGTAACAACACACTAACAACACACAGTAACAACACACACTAACAACACACAGTAACAACACACACTAACAACACAGTAACAACACACTAACAACACAGTAACAACACACTAACAACACACACTAACAACACACACTAACAACACAGTAACAACACACTAACAATATACACTAACAACACACAGTAACAACACAGTAACACACTAACAACACAGTAACAACACAGTAACAACACACACTAACAACACAGTAACAACACACAGTAACAACACACAGTAACAACACACAGTAACAACACAGTAACAACACACAGTAACAACACACAGTAACAACACACAGTAACAACACACACTAACACACTAACACACTAACAACACAGTAACAACACAGTAACAACACAGTAACAACACACAGTAACAACACAGTAACAACAC